GGAGCGCAGGGGGACGCTGGCCGGCGACGTCTTCGGCGTGGGCATCATCATGCAGGAGGTGGTGTGCCGCAGCGCCCCCTACGCCATGCTGGCGCTGACACCCGCGGGTACGGCCGCCCCTCGCGTGGGGTTTGGGCTAGAAGGGCCTCCTGCTACTAGGCAGAGCCTGGCCAGACCCGGCCTCGCTCTTTTCCGAAAGCCCAGTGCTGAGACGTCATTATGGAGGCCTCCCTTCAAGCTGGGGGCTGAAGGGGCCGCGCAGTAGAGAGCCCAGCCTCAGGACAGGCAGGGGCGGCTCTTAGGCGCCAGACTTCAGTGGCTTCCTCCGTCCTGATCCTGGGCTACAAACTGCTCCCCAACGGATGGAACAGGCTCCTCTCTGGTTCTTAGGGGCCTACGGAGGCGGCAAGGTCGGGGGGAAGATGGGAAGAGAGCAGTTGAACATGGTGCAAATCCATGTTATTTATCATCTATAGGACGCAGCAAGCTACTCGATCATCCTAGCCCTCACTTCTTATGTGTAATAAATGGTAGTCTCTGTCACCTTACTGCCCCCTGCCCCTCGGGGGTTCAGGGTTCCCTTGTTGCGCCCAGCAACCCCCTTCCCTACTTTCCAAAGCTCTGATTTAAGGGACCCCCTTCCAGGCCCCCCATCTTGAGCTTCCACCAGGCTTCTGTTCTGGTGCACCCCCTCTCACGGTCCCCTCATGCCTCCAGAGGTGGTGCAGAGGGTGCGGAACCCCCCTCCGCTGTGTCGGCCCTTGGTTTCCGTGGACCAGGCACCCATGGAGTGCATCCAGCTGATGACACAGTGCTGGGCAGAGCAACCGGACCATCGGCCCTCCATGGACCGCACCTTCAGCCTGGTTAGGGGCTGGGGTTGGGCAAGGGCTGGGCTGGCCACCTGTCAGCAACATGGGGAGATGCAGGAAGGCAGGCTGGCAGGACCTCCGACCACCCAGGCTCTTCCTAAGGGGCAGCCTGAGGACTGGGCTTTTGGTGGGGGCAGAGTTGGGGGGGGGCGCTGTAGAGACCTTTGGAGCCTGAGATGGAGCTGTGGGTGGGAGAAATATTTGATTCAACTCAATATTTATTGATAACTAAATGTGGCAAAAAGACCCTGGGCCTGGGAATTGGCGATGTGGGAGGAGCCCTCCGCGCTGAGGATAGATTGGTTTCAGTGCTCTGTCAATTACTAGCTGAGACCAGCTGACCTTATGGGACCTCATTTCCTGTGCGCCTGCGAGACACAGTGCCCCGCATCCTGAGGTGTGGGAGGGGCTTGATGAGTTGAAGATGAATGAATGGGTGAGAGAGAGAGAGTCAGGCATAACACAGCCCCATGAGAGGGCCATGCCAGCCAAGGTCCTCAGCTTCCTCCTCCGACTAGTTCAAGAGCATCAACAAGGGCCGAAAGACCAACATTATCGACTCCATGCTGCGGATGCTGGAGCAGTACTCCAGCAACCTGGAGGACCTGATCCGGGAGCGCACGGAGGAGCTGGAGCTGGAAAAGCAGAAGACAGACCGACTCCTCACGCAGATGCTGCCTCCGTGGGTGCCAGGGGGGAAGAGTGGGGAGGGCAGCTGCAATCCAGCCAGACTGGGGTGGCCTCCAGGTAGCGTCACCGCCTGCCACCCTAGGTCTGTGGCTGAAGCTCTGAAGATGGGGACCCCTGTGGAACCCGAGTATTTCGAGGAGGTGACACTGTACTTCAGCGACATCGTGGGCTTCACCACCATCTCCGCCATGAGTGAGCCCATCGAAGTAGTGGACCTGCTCAACGACCTCTACACGCTCTTTGATGCCATCATCGGCTCCCACGATGTCTACAAGGTGGAGTGTGCAGGGGACAGGCCCTTCCTCAGGGTCGCCGGCTTCCGGCCCAGCCCTTCCCGCTCAGCCCCCAGGCCACCAGCCCAGTCCTCCTTCCCAGACCTCCTCTCCTGCCAGTCCCCAGCTCAGTCCCCCAGCTCGAAGGATCCCCAGTGTCTCTGCGCTTAAACCCAGTGTAGGCCTCCGGACAAGGGACAATCACTTGGGGGGGGGGGTGCTCAGTACTGAAATCCTGCATCTCCCTCACAGGTGGAGACAATCGGGGACGCCTACATGGTGGCCTCCGGGCTGCCCCAGCGGAACGGGCAGCGGCACGCGGCAGAGATCGCCAACATGGCCCTGGACATCCTCAGCGCCGTGGGCTCCTTCCACATGCGC